CTTCCTTCCTTCCTTCCTTCCTTCCTTCCTTCCTTCCTTCCTTCCTTTCCCCCCCTTCCTCCCTCCCTCCCTTCCTCCCTTTCCCTCCCTTCCTCCCTCCCTCCCTTCCTCCCTTCCTTTCTTCCTGCCTTCTTTCCTTCCTTCCTTCCTTCTCTTTCCAAATTTTTCCAGACACAGTCTCTCACTCCCCTGGCATGGCTAGTTCCAAGGGTCCAACTATCTTCACAGCCCTCACCTCCAGGACTGGGATTTCAGGTTCATACCAGCACTCCTGGCCTTTCAGATGAGTGCTGGGAATCCAAACTCAGGTTGTGTGCTTCAGTGGCAGGTACTGTGCCAACTAAGCCATCTCCCAGCCCCAGTACTTCTTAGCTACATACAGATTAATCACACCACACCATAATTTAAAAGTTCAAAATGTATAGAAGTGGGTATGTGATTCATAGTTATAATCTCAGCATGCAGAAGGCAGAGGCAGGAGGTTCTGAAGTCAAAGGCCAGCCTGGGATACAGAGTGAGTCACTGTCTTCAACAGTACAAAGAACACAGAAAAAGAACAACAATAATTTTTAAGTGTTACTGAAAAAAAAAAGTGGGAATATAGCTCAGTGGAGGAGTGCCTGCTTAGCATGTGAAATGTTCTGGGCTCACTCTTTGGGACTGGTAAATCTATATCTATATCTATATCTATATCTATATATATATATATATATATATATGTATGTATATATACACACACATATATACATATATGCATATATATGCACAGGTATGCATAGCTGCTTTATTTGAATTAAGAAAAAATAGTACTATGTATATAGAAGTGAATGGATAGTGCTGGGTGATGCTGTTTATACTCTGGAGCACTGCTCGTGAGGAAGAGGAAGGACCCTTGACGATCACAACATGGGGGGAAGCTTTAAATAACTAAGCTGAATGAAATAAATCAGGATAAAAAAAGCATTTCCTATATTATTTAGAGGAAAAAAATCACAAGGAGTAGTGAAAGCAGATGGGTAATTGTCTGGAAATATCTGGCTGTGGAGGAGGGGCAAGAAATGAGAAAGGCAAAGAAACAGAGGAAGTATCTTTACAAAAATATTTACTTCTATTTTTATTTATGTGTGTTTGTATGCCACGGGTATGTGGGTACACATGGTGAGGAGAAGGGAGGGTCAGATACCCTGCCACTGGAGTTACACAGGTAGTGAGCTACCTGACCTGGGTGCTGGGAGCCATGTCCTCTGGAAGAGCAGCAAATGCTTTTTAACTGCCGAGCCATCCCCTCAGCCATGTGTTCACTCTCCCGGTTATAGAGCTGATTTCATAAGCATATGCATGTGTGAAAACTTATCAAATGGAAAAATGAGCAATAAGTTGATTTTACTTAATGAATTAAAAGTTCACTTAATAAATAAGTTGTTAAATACGGACACCTTGTTTACTATCAATCATAGCAAGGTAGCTTCTAAAAAAGCCAGGCATAGTGATAGAGACCTATTATCTCAGCACCCAGGAGACTGAGGCGTGAATTTCAGGGGTTCAAGACCAGCTGGAGCAACATAACAGGACCCTGCTTAAAAACAAAAAAACAAACAACAACAAACAAACCAAAACCAAGCAGCTAAAATCACACACAGCTATGGACAGATGCAGCCTTTGAAGAGAATGCTATTGGCCCCTACCCGGTGCCACACCTGACGTATTCTTACATACCTTCTTGGTAAAATGTCAACTTAGTTTGCTTTCTGGTGCAGCGTTTCAGCCATGAAACACTGAACAAAAGCAATTGAGAGAGGGAAGGGTTCATTTGGCTTACAGTTCATCATGCAGGGACGGTGAGGC